CAGGGATTTTTAAAAGGCCGTCGATAGTGTTGACCGTCAAGTAATTTCAAAATTACTTGGACACTATGGTGCACTTGACCAAAATCTCTACCAAGTTCACTCAACAGCAATATGACATTGACATGTGTCAGGTGGTCCGCAGTGAAAACTCACCTAAACCTTTGAAGTAAAGACAGAAGTAAGGTGGGGATGCCCATTGGCATCAAGGATATTCCTGATTGTGGCGTACTGAATTTAGCGTCCCACTGTTATTAGGAGCCAGAATTCGGAAATACGCTGGTCCAATAAAAGACTCCAGAAGATTTGGATTTCGCGGAAGATTTATGTCTAATGTCACACAAAGTAGAGGACTTACAAGTGAAAACCAACAAGCTGTCAGAAGAAACAGCTAGGACAGGACTTCGAGTGAAAACAAAGAAGACGGAAGTGATGATGTGCGTCGGTGGCACAGTGGTGAAGACTCTCGCTGACCGTGCACATGGTCCGAAGTTCGATTCCCTGCCGACGCACACCTGATATCTATGGTCGGCCTGCAAAATTTGGGCTACCGATACCCATGCTGAAAATTCCATACTTGTACCAAAAAGTACGGCGTAGAATCAAGCTGTAGTAAAAAAAAATAATAATAACCAGCCAACAACAACAAGCACCGGCATTTTCAATAGAAGGAATTTTAAAGAAGTCACTCCTTCCACCTATCTAGACAACATCTTCTATTCAGCTACAGGCGGACAGCATGAATGAGAATGCTGAAACAAGAATCAGAAGGGCGAAACAGACCTTCGTCACTTCGAAGCCATTTTGGAAATCTACTGTACTTAGCACAAAAAGCAAAATCCAGACATTGAACACCAATGTTAAGTCAGTCCTTTCTTATGTATGGGTCAAAAGCTTGGCACATCACGGAAAACATTTAGAACAGGCTTCACACTTTTGTCAACAGCTGCCTTCACTGTGTGCAGAAGATCTGATGACCAGTCGGAAAGGTTTGGCAGCATGAAATGTAGCGACGAAACAACCAATAGCCGTTTGCTTAATAAATATTCCAACGAAAATGGAGATGAATCAGATGCGGACTAAAATACCGTTTGGTGAAGAGAGAATACGAGAACTTATTGGCTATCCTGGATACAACTGAGGAGCACTGCAGTGAAATGAAGGCGTCCTGTTGAAGCCCGTTTTCCACTAGGAATCGAAAGGAACAGAAATAAATTCTATTTTTTGCAAGGGTTGTATCTATTAACAGGTTGACACTAGACCTTTTTATGCTGCTTTCGCATGCTGCATTGCAACGATATCAGTGTCTGTCACATTAGCTTTATTTTATTCCTTTCTCACAAACTATTTCTATTTTCATTGACTTATATGACAAACTCTTCAGGGTCATGGCGGTAGTATTTCTGTCAAATCTCTATTCCCAAAGAAACAAGTAGCTGTAAACACTGCTTACCTTCAGTTATCGAGTGTTCGCAATTAGTATTGTTTGCCTGTTCATTTTTACTAATATCGTCAAGTCTTTCTGGAATTTTCCAGTGAATCATTTTTGTTATTGATGGAAATGATTTCCACTGAACTACAGCTGGTCAGCTACTGAAAATTCTTAATTTCATTTGTACCATTAGCTGCCTAAGGTACCGATGAACAGTGCTCATCACTTTACTCATCATCACTTTAACTGATAGGTCTTGTCTCTATAAAGGAGATTCTAGTTTAGACAGAGATGTGGAGCAAACAACCAATGGTTGGTAATACTTTCTATGACACACCTAGTTTTTCAGACGTACTGCTTAGAAGGATCACTCTACATAATCAGGTAAAATAACGATGTGTATAGCAGTTCTGTAGCATAGCTTGGTCTGTGTCCAATTTTTGTATTGGATCCTGAAGTGTTTCAGACTACCAGGGTTTTCTTCAGTTTGACCGTCATCATCACTCCTCGTCACTCAATAATTTGAAAATCATCTTCAAATTTTCAAGTATTGGTTTTGTAGGGATTTTGTTTGATTGCATGGAGGATTTCATCATGAGCTGACATCAGTTAGAGAACCACTGGAAAACCTGGGAGTACTTGACAGATGTTTCGTCCTGGTCTGGGACTCTTCGGCAGCACTCACCATCGGGGTTCGAACCCCAGGAGCTTCTGGTTACAAGGCGCTATGTCGTGAGTTGGCAGAAGTTAGAATTCAAGGACCATTGGATCGGGTCCCAGTGGCTCAATGGTCTGTGAGCTCGCCTTGTAACCAGAAGGTCCTGGGTTTAGAACTCCGGTGGCTGTATACTGCTGAAGAGTCCCAAACTAGGACGAAACAGCTACCCAGCACTCTTAGGTTTCCCAGTGGTTCTCTAACTTTTGTCTGCTTATGATGAAATCATCTTCAAATCCCGGAAGCCTCTTCCGCTTTACGGCACTGAAGAAAAATCATAGAAAAGCGCAATACACTGTGTCTACACCATTATTGAAATAATTTCATAAAATATACTGACAACAACTGTGGCTGACTGAATTCATCAAAGAAGCGATGAATACAATAATGACATCTAATGTATGTCACTCCAGTCTATACATTTTATTGGTATACAAAGCAATGTTTGTTGTCTGTAGTCTTAGTAAACGCACTGAAAAACACTGCATACTTTAATACAAGTATTCTTATTGATTTGTTCGTCAGTCCTTTTGTCATTGTGGTGTTGATGTCACCGACAGAGAAAATACTTGTTTTTTATTGATTGTAAGTGAACGTGTCTGACCGTAGTTTGTCAATAATAATAAAAACAGAAGCATAAGAAAGTAAAGAAAAAAAAATTTAAAGCAGTAATGAATTATTCAGTTTTCAGAAAAACTTAGTTTTAAATGTATCTATCGATTTTATTCTAAACGTGACTGGCGTGAAGACAGTTTGTTGTGTGTTAAGCTGAGAAGTGGTAGGTTTCAAGAAGCATTTTGCTAAATCAATATTCTGTTGATGTCAATTGTATTATGGCATAATTACGCTGTGTGTGTGTGTGCATTAAATTTCCTTCAAAAAGAAATAGCCCTGACACTAGATGTTTCTACAGTGAATATATTTTTGGCTTATTTAACATATGAGGTCAGTGCTGGCTCCAATTAAGCCTGTTTACTCTCATTTATCTTATGAATCATCAGTGAGGATTACTATAAAATGCTGACAATGCAGCTGTCGATGGTCTGTTGAACTGAACTCATACACACGTCTGACTAATTCGGTAATCATTACACTAAGGGGATTGCATTCTCTTTGTCATAGGTGTTTCTCCAGCATGTCTGACAAGATGATGACATGTCGATAAACATGTTTTATTCAAAAAGGGGCATCGTTGTGGGCTTTATAACTGCTCTGCCTCCAAGCATAATAGTTGAATAAATAGACCATTTTTTTTAATGTATGTGTCGATTAATTCCAAGAAATGCCTTTTACTTCCACCTCCAATATTTATCCTCTTCTTTCATTTCTTCAATTTATGAAGAGTATTCAGCCGGAAGAGATGACAGCATTGCTTAGAATTCTAACCTCTTTCTGCTAGTCTTATCCAATAGTGTTTATTCCTACAACAGATTGAATTAGTTGTATTCTGTGAGCTGGTTGATTAACATGAAGCTAGTGTTATTGATTTTAATTTAATTTTAAATTGTTTTGACAGCCAGATAGTTTTTTTTTAACCGCACATATTCAAATACTCAGTTGTTTTTAGGAGAGAACAGTTTATTTAACGGGTTAAAAAAAAAACACCATAGAGCATCACACTGAGAATTTCCAGTTTCCAGTTTTTATTCACCATTTGTTGTATTTTTAAAAATTGTAAATAATCTCCTTTAGCTTTCATTTCCATTTTGTTTACTTGTTGACAGTCAGTTTGTAGTGATCCGGAAACCTAATTGAAGGTCAATAACGAGTAACCATAGTTATATTGATTGAAATTAAGAAGGACAACTTAATATTAGCCATAGTAACGTGAACAATAACCGGTTTCATTTAATACCTATCTGCTTATATATTTACTTAAAATTGAATTTGATGCCAACCAATTTGTAAGAATCATGTTTCATTGAGTTAAACGAATAAAGTGTTCTAGAAAAAGTGTTTCTACCGTGTGGATCGATCTGTGTCTTTGTCACACACTAGTGTGTTTTATTACTGAGGATAATAATAATGATAATTTTCCATCACGTTCCCAGTGGAACAAAGGGTTTCAAGCTAGTGGCTTAAAGATTCTGTAACAGTGTTTATTTTTACAAGATGGGGTTGCTAGCCTCATGCCTAAACTTCCCTCTTTACCAGCGAGGTAAAGGAGTGCGTCAGCCGGGGGTCGAACCTCGGACCATGTGCATGGTCGGCGAGCGTCCTAACCCCTGTGCCGCAGACACCTATTACTGAGGATAGTACTTTATTTCTACTTAAAGCAAGACATGTTTTATTCCATGGTTATGTTGAGGAGTACGACCTGACAAATTCCTTTTATGCTTCTTCTTCTTCTTCTTCTTGTTAATAGCCAAACGTGTTCCTTGTTTTACAGGGTAACAATCAAAGTGAACAAAACAATCCACATAATTCAGAAATAAGAAGAAAAGGGTTCTGAAATATCCTGCCGTGTAATTCAGAATTCTATCTAATTACCATGATGCTCACTTTCCCTTGAGCTCCACCTAATATTATCATCGAGAGACTACTAAGAGAAGGCAGAAGACTGTTCACCGATAGTTGTGATAAGCGCCAATCAGCACAATCCATGTAACTGCTATCTTTGGATAAGAGCTCACCAAAATCCAATTACTGGGGTGGAGGCTGAAAGTGACATTACTGATGAATGTATATAGAAGTCTATAACGCATTATAAAGTACACAAATTGTAGCATGGTGCTCACAAACGCCACTTGTTATAGTGAGTAATGTATCATCCACCCTTCATCCCCACTCCTAAAAATGTTTTATTCAATGAATCTCGAATGTAATTCAACAATTTTACATTTTCTTTTGCTTTAGGCTAGACAGTTCAAAAAGATGAACAAAAAGTTATTTCGGTTGAAAATGAAACGCACTCTCTTCATCACAGGATCAATCATCTTTGGCTCATTAATATTACTGGCAGTGATACTTTTATCTGTCTTGTAACGTGTATGTATATCTGTCACACATTGTCAATGTAACTGATCATATTATTACCAGTAATAAATAAAATCTGTTGGAAACATACATACATCCGTTACAGATATTGAATGGTCAGTGGGATGGTCTAGTAACTCTAGACGTTCTGGATTCGATCCTCAGTGAGTTAATGGATGCAGAGTGATTAAGTGTCCGAAACTAGGGTGAAACAGTTGTGCAGCACTCTGTGAGATTCAACCGTTCTCAAACCGATTATGCCATTATAATGTAACAGGGAAATCCTAGCATTGTGGTAGTAGAATTCAACCCCACACTAAATAGATTTATTCGGTACAAGATACAGTGTGATACAGTATCAACTAGTAGTGGATGTTTCGAACAAAAATAGTGGTTTATAATTAAACCAAGGTATTCAAACGACATCTTAATTCTCTATACATACATTTTTATATACTGTATCCTGTTTGTTAATGTTATCTTCTACTTATCCGGAATTAGTGTTATGTCATTTATATTGCAGATAAAACTATATACGCTTGGTTTCTTGATTACTGTTTGTGCAATGAAGTCAATGCAAAAAGTGGCGCGGAATTATGCTCCTGTCCATCCCAAACAAAATACTAAGCCGCATCATCCTGGAGAGAATCAAACACGCCAACCTAGATGGAAAACTTTGATCGGAACAAGCTGAATTCAGGAGAAACAAGTCATGTATTGATCAAATCACCACACTACGGATAATCATTGAACAAAGCTTGCAATGAAAGTCACCTCTCTATCTCAACTTCATCGACTTTGAAAAGGCACTCGACAGCGTCGATCGAGAGGTGATTTGGAAACTACTTGGCTCCTACGGGGTCCCATCGATAATTATACATCTCATCCAACAGTTGTTCGACAATGCTGCATGCCAAGTAATCTACAACGGGAAGCTTACGGAAGCCTTCGAAGTGAAGACGGGAGTGAGGCAAGGCTGTCTACTATCACCAATCATTTTCCTGATTGGATAATGCGACAGACAACGGCAACCAACGAGGGAACGGGCATAAAATGGACTCACACAAAAAGAGACTTGGAGGATCTGGACTTCCCCGATGATATATGTCTGATTTCCCACAAACTGGAAGATATGCAAGTGATGAAAAGCAACAAGCTGGCAGACGAAGCATCCAGAGAAGGTAGGACTTCAGATGAACGTAGATAAAACAGAGGTGATCAAGATTCCTGGCCAACAACAACAGCAACAGCAACAACAACAGATAACAATCAACCAGCATAAATGGGAGGAACCTGAAAGAAACAACCTCCTTTACCTACCTACCTACCTCGGAAGCATCGTTTCAACTACAAGCGGACGGAACTGACGAGGATATCAAAGCCAGAATCGGAAAGCAAGCCAGGTTTTCATTACTCTCAAGACTGTGTGGAGGTCAACAGCACTCACCATCAAAAATAACATCCGGATTTTCAACTCCAATGTAAAGTCAGTGCCACTTACTATATGGATCAGAAACGTGGCCAGCGCGTCATAAAGGGCATCTCAAACAAACTACAGACCTTCATTAACAGTTGTCTTCGCTCAGTACTCAAGATCAGATGGGCGGCCAAAAAAGATCAGCAATAGGGAGGGATCTCTGGCAATGAGCGAACCAACCAGTAACCGATTGTGCAACACATAGGCAGGACGAAATGGAGATGAATTGACCATACGCTTAGGAAACCATCAAGTGACACCACTAGACAAGCCATTGCTCGAGTGGAACCCGAAAGGGAAGCGGGGAGTTGGTCGTCAATGCAAGGGTGACTTGGAGGAGGTCATGTGAAGAGGAGATGAAAGCCTGTGGGCAGACTTGGAGCGGGGTGAAAAAGTTGGCAGTAAACCGAATGCAATGGAGACTGAAGCGACTGAAGTCCTACGTTCCTCTAGGAATTAAAGGATATAATAATAATAATTATTATTATAATTATAATAATAAATCAAGAAGTTTAAATGTTCTAAGCTGACTAATCTTGATTTTCAAAGGAAACTATGGTGAAATAATATCACCTCGAACTGAGTAACCTGTGAATGAACTTGCAGAATTGAGAACAAATTTTAAAGCTGCAGATATGATATATAGCAGATGTCACTTGTTGCTTCGGTGAAGAAAGATCCCGTCATTAGCCACAATCTGTGTCTCTGGATGTCTATCCACCTATATGTATATATCATCTTTTAAGTCTATGACTCTATCCTACACTCTTGCTGGAATGCATTCAATAAAGACAGTGTTATCCCAGTCTCGCATATATGTAGGATTGCAATAATAAACAGGGGGTAGTAGAACAAAAATTATACAAAGCAAACTAGTTAGTAGTGTGGATGCAGTCATGTAATTACGAGTAGTGCTATGTGCTTGAAAATCAATTAAGCTATTCATACAGTGTCTTATATCAAATAGGTTTATCCTAATATGCAACTGATTACGCATAGTCTTATGAAAGCTGTCACTGTGCACAGACTAGTCGATATAACTTTAAAAGTCATATGTGTGTGTGTGTGTGTGCGCGCGCGCAAACAAAAGCTGAAATCAAGTTGGATGAAACAGTCATGTTTAATGTGAATGTGATTAAGCCTTATGACTAAAATCAGGCTTCTCTGGAATGGAACGTTTGTTCAGCAAGGTGAATGAACTAATGACGCCTGCGTAAAACCAATGTCTAGAGTGATGAATTGTGGGATTTGGCTAGTTTTCACTCTGATATAAATGAATTCTTTAAAATCTAAGGGTGTAGCTCAAAACGTCTGAGCTCCTTTGGTTCAAATATGATCATAGTTCAAATGTTTCTATAAATTATTCAGTAGGTGGTAACATGATCAATTATCAACTTGTCTACATTATCGAGTCTCGCTCTAAGTTGATGCGTGCCTGAATTATTCCCTTCTAGCTTAAACACTAAGTGACAATAATTCAAATGCTCAAGAACTAAAGACTTTCTGCAAAACCTCAACTACACCCTGTTGTGATAGTTTAGAGAATTATACAAACTTCAGATAGAGAAAAACCTTATAGACTATTTACTATAAATGTCAATCGGTCATATCTTTCAGAAAATAGCTACCAACTGGTCATCCAATCAGTATGAACTTCCACAGATATCTTGGAATGCTTGTTGATTTAGTGTCTTGATTACTTAAGGGGGTTAGAAAGAATGAAAAGAAACATCTAACTAGTATCGATTTACGAATAACTTCAGCATGTATCACTTAGTGAGATGTACTCCTCTCATTTGGGATAAACGCAGTTTACTATAAAGGCAAATATTGAATAGTGAAGTTTTTACTACTGATTAACAGAAGCTGGAAGTTTCCTAGTGGTCAAATGTAAGAACTAGTAGATATGTCTAAGATCTCACCTGATACCATGCAACCATACTGGCGATTAATCTCCAATTGGGACTAAACAACTGTTAATCATCTCTTAGTATTCTCTCTACCTCTAAAATCATTTAATCCCTCCTCTCCTAAGCCTAAGTTAACTGGCTTGGTAGTTTTCTAACCGGTCCCAAGCCCGGGTAAAAAGGGAGGGGTGGTTGTGGGGCTAGGAACCCCACACTACAAAAGCTATCAAACTGCTACAGAAACTTCAATGCACAAAAGTATGTTAAAAATACAAAAAAACGCAGATAACAATCTTGTTCTTCACTGGAATCTGAGAGTGGAATTCAAATGAGAAACGACACGTGGGCCGTCAGTGCTAGGGTGACATGAAGGAGGTCGCATGAGGGGGAGATGAAAGATTATGGATGATCATGGACCAAATGAAGAGGACAGCAGAAAGTAGAAGAAAGTTGAGATGTGTTTTTGAAGCCCCATGTTGCACTGTGGACCCAAGGGAATAAGAATAATATAATAGAACTACTCTATAATTAAAGCTACTACATATATCCATATACACACACTGTCAACGTAAACAGAAGCGTTTGTTTTAGGATGAGGCTGAAACTAATTGCCAGTTGTCTTCAAGGCTCAACTAATATTCCAACCAGGTGGGGGAAGTCAATGAAACACCTAAAATAAAAACAGTCAAATGGAACATTTGAAACGATTATGGACTGCATTAAACACAACCGACTCCTGAGAAAATTCTAATTTCAACTGACCGTCTTTATTCTATCGTATCAGAAAGGGGAGTTCAAATTGTATTGGTGATTACCTATACACTCACTCTTCCTATGTTGTAAAATAAGTTCACTTACAAATACAAAAGCTCCATGACTTACCCAAGCTACACTCTCTGTATCACACGATATGGTGCTTAACAATTCAGCTTGAATGCACACAGAACAATTCCTTCTGTCCAGCTGTCTATCGATTTATCAAGCTAATCCACACCTGAAAATATTTAGTTCTGAAGAGCAGCCAGGTTGAAATGAAGTATGCCTTTTTTAAAAACACATCTGGCTCTTCAATCTTTACAAGCAGGGAAATTTCTGAGGGGATGGTTTCACTAACCACCATTTTCCTTTGACTCGGATGTTAGGATTGTCCTTTACTTTACCTCAGAAAAGTATATGATCATTGATAAAACTAGGTATCAGGTAACTGATCAATTCAAAGCTAAGTTATCCAGCTATCATGGTGGCTGGTATAACTTAGATGATGCGCTAAGCACGTCGTTTACATCGACATCTTGTTAGAATGCTCAAAAGTTCTTCGGAAGTATAATGAAAAACGGTTGGAATTTTAACACAAGCACATACACACTTATAGTTCAATCGATAAGCATGCTTGTGCGCTGAATGTAACTTCTAATCGATCACAGGTGTGAATGATGCCCGCGTTTATCTTCATTTCTTGTCATGAATGACGCGATACGTTTTCGTCTTCTTTTTTCAGTATTAGATATCACAGTATGTGATTTAAATCTTACTGGCAAAAAGTGAGAATAAGCAAAACGCTAAGCTAATCAATCACATGCTACCTCTTAAGATTTGTGAACAATATGTGTAGATTATATCTCTATGTAGAGAAAATAAAAAATTGAAAACACCAATCAATACTCAAACAACAAAAATAATAAATTGATTAAGTTTATTTATTGATTTTTCTTGTTGTGATTCAAAGGTAATTGATCTGCGTTATGTTTGAAAGTAATTAAAGTAACAGTTGTTCTATATGTTTAACACCAGATATTAATTCTTCGCCAAAAAAATTGAAAGAAATAATTTACTGTTGTCATGGAATTGGAAAGATTAGGAAAGACAGTTTGCCAAAACACCAGAACATGGAAGGTGAATGGATAATGAAAGAAAGTCGGGTGAGTTGTGGTTCATTAGCATATTATGTGTGTCATCAGTATCAGACAAAATTCACTAGGTGTTTGATAAAGGATAAACTCGGTTCGTCCAGTAGGCGAATAGGAGCAGTAGCTGGTAAAAACCTTTTACTAGCTCCAGTGCAATTACCTTCACATCGACTAGGCTTAGTCATGTGCTTTTTAATTTCTCATTGAGCTATTTATGTAGACCACCTTAGGGAGTAGACTGACGCACTTCAAATCGACTGCATACAGAAAATCTCTGTCTTACTTCATTGCCTAGTCAAGCTTTTATAACCTGTAGGTTCTGTGGGTCATCACAGTGAGAAGGGATGGTCAGAATGTCATTTTGATCGTACAGTATCATTGCTAGTTTGGAGTTGTGAAATACAACCACAGGAACGCATGAGGTATTGAAAACTGATACAGCCATCCAGTCGAACTAAACTGTCAAGTAGCAAAAAAGCATTTAAGATGATTTATTGGAAGTTTAACTTTTTTTTAGAACACCAAAATTCACTCACTGCGATATGTATACACATTCAAGTGTGAGGCAAAGAGGACTATTAAAATATTACATTGCCAGATTTAAAATCACACGAATTCATTTCCATTGAGGTGACATAGTAAAACTAACACTGCAGACCGGTAAGTAATATATCCAAGCGACTGAATTTGTTTTATAAAAACTGATCTACTAAAGCCAAGTATAAACAGATTAAACGCACCTAACAATGAGTTACATCAGTAAGTGGAGATAAAAATGGGAGTGTTATAAGAGCATTGGATTGAGAACAAACCCGTATAACTTGATTTTGTTTAGCCTCAGAACTTCTGCAGCAAGCATACCGATACCAACCAGCTTTGACTCACCGTCAACAAAAAACAACACCTATCCTCTTACAAATAAGCAGTCAGTAACAATTAGGTCTGGATAAGTTTACCAGTGTTAGTCGGCACAGATCTAGATTTTGTGTATGTGTGTAAAATCAGATCGGACAGATCTTGAAAATATAAGACAGTAAGTCGCCAGGTTGGCGTTTTGTATTCTCACATGAAAAATAAACGAATTTAGGCGAAGCAAGTGAAGAAACTCACAGTTATTGTATTTAAAAAGGTAAATGAAATAGATTAAAAGCAATAACTAGTCATTGTTCAAGAACAAGTAAAAAACAGACACAGATGAAAGTACTCCTTATAAAAGTTAAGTATTCTGGTGAGAAAATACAATAGGCATCGAAATGAGTCATACAGAAAATAGATACAAAACCTCAGAGCATATTATATCACAAGTAGAATTATTTGAAGGAAAAAATAAAAAAAAAACAGTCTTGCATTGGGAATAAGTTTGTAATCACAGTCAGAGATCGTGAGTTCCATATGTATAGTATACTGAATGCATTTTGCATTGCAATAGACGATATCTTTAAAATAACTTTCGAAGTTTTATTATTAGAATAAAATTCTAAGAATTCTAAGCTCAAAATGATGAACATTTGAGGATTGCAATAAAATGCATTACACTAGTACCTGTCTTTGTCAATACAATGAAAAAAAATGTATACAAAAATATATATTTATCAGATTATCTGTTTTGTAGAGTTTCTCAGCTTACTTTTTTTCTCTTCCTGTATTCAAATTATCACAGAGTTGTTGCATACTCATCATTTTGTACAGCTTCATTGTCATGTCCTCTGTCGACTGCATTACTGGCTCGTGGTTTGTATATTTCATGGGCGTTCACTTCTTCTTGTAGTTGTAGTATGCGTTCAATCTCTTTTTTACGCTTTCTTTTCCTTCTGATACGTTTTACAGTGTATGTAACAAAGAATGCTGTTGTTGTAGAACAGCCGATAGCGAATAACACAATACCAATTGTCATTTTAATCGGTGAACCTTCATCTTCACCTGATCCCCATAAACATCCACCAACAAGTAAACTCAATGTAGATATAATAAATAAGAAGAATAAGGCAGGTTCACCTTCAAATAATAACATGATATGGAGAAAAATATATTAACTATTGGTAATAATAATAATGGTAGTAATATTAGAAACAGTAGTTAATAATCCCATTCATGAAGAGTCATGGATGTCTTTCTATTCCTTAATGATGATAAAATCACTTTTGAGTGCACATGAACTGTACGTTGGTCTCCGTAAAACTGTTTGCTAGCCAGAATGTAAAATAAACATTCAGAATAGGCTACCAATAAACAAATCAGTTGTAGAGCACTATGCAGATTCCTATTAAAAAGTAATCTTTCCTATTAACCAATCAGATTCACTTTATGCGTATGTCTGTATATTACACATATATCGTAAGAGTAGTTTCATTTGCTCACACTAGTTACTTTTTAACATCACGCAGAAACTCACTGATTGTTTAATAATAGTATGATTAGTGATTTGACAGATGAAGTTCTTCAATGAGATGTTTCAGGTGATATTTTGCGGAACACAGGTGCGTGTATGTCCGCGTGCACAACATTACATACACGTAAGGGTTTTTTTTTTACTGAAGAGTAAATTCGCTTCTAACCTGCTTCCTTTGTAATGTATGTTACGTTAATCCGATGGATCCTTTACCTTTAAGATTTACTGATAGAGTGTAAGGAATTTAGGCGAATCCTTTAGTACAGGAAGGCATAAAAACGATATTAGAAGATTCATTGGAGTTCTTTCTAGTCAGTAGCTTACAACCTAAAATTACTGTAATAATGCAATGTGATCAGTCTCTTACGAATATCACAGATTCAGAGAAGCGAAATAGAATGGCTATAGTGTATAGCTTTTTTATTCTCTTCAGCTTTACGTGTGCAATTCATATGAAAGCCAAATTAGTTTATTCGTTTGCACATTTCCCTAAGCATTAGCAACACTCTGATTGCATTTGGTCTTTTGAGTGTTAGCCACATCAGCTGGGCGCTGTTGTGTTAACTTATTCAAAGTTTTTACTGGATTATGCCAGCCAGACTAAGAAGCTTTAAACAATTGTAGTCCACTTTTGATGGTACTTTTTTGGTAACTTGATAGTATAGTTGACACACAAGTTTCCATCAACGCATTGCTTTAGACAATCGATGAGAAACAAATCTTGAAAACTAATGTACCACGCTTTAGCGACTGACTGTTTTATGAAGTCCCTGTAGTTCTTGTGCGAAATCCATAACCACCCTGGAGTCCAGCAAGTCAGGTAGAATGAAGATAAATATTCTCCAGTAACAGGTTAATAATAATAATAATAATAATTTGCTTTATTCCAAAACAGTACTTGTGATACAGAATGGAATTCCCAACATTTTACTACAGTATTGCATCCAGTTAGTACATTATCAATAAATAAAATTCTACATAGATTAAGGCTAATCTCAGTTACTTTTGACAACAACATATATTGGCATGTCAGTAGCAAATCCAAAATTAAACAGAGTGTTTAAAGGTGTTAGAAAAGTAGATACTAGCATATTTACTGGCGTAAGCGGTAACAAAAAGGTCGAGATATACAGAATGTGAAATAATGAAAAAGAATGTTTTAAGTAGAGTTCGTAATGAAAAGAGAAACAAAACAGCACATAACAAAAATAAATACAGAAAGAGAAAAAAAAGTAGAGAGAAAACGTTGTACCTGTAAATGATGTGAGTTGGAAAGACGAGATCCAATTGTTCTACTGACAATTTAATCAGTTATAAGTTTCACGCCTAATGCTTTCTTTATCGCACAGAATACGAGCTAAGTAGTGTATGGTTGAGTTTTTGTACTTGCTAGTGCGAGCATTTAGTTTTCTATATAGGCTTCTGCCCTGTCTGATGAGATACAAGGGGAGAGCTGTGAATGAAGAGGGTGGTGTGAGTTAGATAGAATGGATTTAGTACATTTTTCACATGAGTCCAAGTGCCTGTTGACCAGAATATTAACAAGCTCGTTAAGTGACACGTTGCTAACCCTGCTGACAACCTTTAAAATCCTACGTAATAAGATATAGTCTTTCTTCTTTAGCCTTGCAAATACTAAGGTGGAACAATAGAGAATAATATAAGATAGAGAGTTTTCTTAGGAATCATCAAGATATGAGACGACCAGGAAAGATCAGTAGATAGAATGACGCCAAGATATTTAATTTCCGACTTGGTCTCTATCTCAGTGCCATCAATGTTACACACCTCGTGAGTGCTAACCAGTATTTTTTAGGTCAGATTTGTGCCTAAAGGTGAAATTACCTGTTTGGCATTTGGAGGGGTTTAAGGTGAGACCGTTTTCCTTGGACCATTGGGTGATTTCTGATAAAAAGCCATTTAGGTTAGAGCAGTCACTTTGACACTTGACAGGCAAGATACAGTCATATCATCAGCATATTCAACAAAATTAATGTCACTTGAAGATAATAAATCATGTAGAAAGAAAGAAAAGAGAAGCGGGGAGAGTACAACACCTTGGGGGGAAGCCAGCTTCAGTGAGCACAGCAGAGGAGGATTTACCTTTGTATACAATGTACTGCAATCTGTTAGAGAAATAGGAATGCAACCAGTTTGTAACCCAAGACTCATTTTGCCTCATCGAGAGCTTATTTAGCAAGAGGCATCAAGGTACAGAATCAAAAGCAGAAGTGAAGTCGAGAAACGTGCAACGAACGTATTTGGCATCTTTATCTAATGATGAGACGATACTGCTGTTTAAAACCGCTGTAGCGTCTAAAGTGCTTCTACCCTGTATACATACAAATTGTTTGGGGTCTTCAAAACTTTTAAGGGAGGGTTTAAGTTTAAGAAGTACTAGTTTTTCCATCAGCTTTAGAAAGGGGAAGTAATGGCAATGGGTCTGAATTTCACATTCTCGCTATTTCCAGGTTTAGGGACAGGGACTATTTTAATGTCTTTCTATGCAACAGGTACAACGTCGTTAGAAAAAGAAACATTTAGGATGTTAGTAAGTGGAGAACATAAAGCATCTGCACATTGTTTTAGAACATAAGCAGGTACACTATCGCGGCCAAGGCGACATGAGGGGTTAAGGTTTTATTTTCAATGGTGCTAACCATTACGAGCCAATAGAAGTCACAGTTTATGTACCACTGGCTGAATAGTCAACGGACTGGTCTTGTAAGGTGATAGCCTCTAGGCGGGATCACTCACTTGATCGTGGATGTGTATTCCTGAATGCTCGGAAACTAGGGGTAGACACGTATCCCCGTATTATCTGGTGTTCACTGATTTTCAGACCGGGATCCAACTTGAAATCAGTTGAATCCCCGCAATCAAACACCTGAAAATTTTACTATTCTGTTACAAACTTTACCCCCTACCATTTAAGTTTTCTTAATTAGCTCACTACAGCCTTAGTTTTCATCAATGTGTGTTGATGATAAACAAGTAATGAAAACAAAATACGTAATTCAGCGAAGAGGCTCTTCTTAGATAATTCATTTTCTTTAGCTGTATAATCACATTTATATAAAAGTTTTTTTCAGGAAGGAGGGTAGTAACAAAACTAATAATTTGACACAAACATATTTGTTAATATTGGTCAATGAATAAAAGAAGTTGAATAAGAGTATTACAGTAATGTTAAAAGATATTAATAATAATTTAGTGAATGAGTTGTAAACACGATGCGCATAGAAACGAAGAAGGGTATCCAATTGTGTAAGAGTTGTAAAGAAATAGAAGAGATATGAATTAGAAAAACGAAAAACCAAACAAGTGTTGTCAGTAGAGATCAGCGTGGTTGTTGCTGTGATAGGGGAAGTGGTTGTATACAGAGCTCCATTTTCTCTACCTGTATAGCTAAAGCTTCAGCAATGCAAATCAGATGAAAGCGTATTGCTAGAATGGTGGCCATATTGCAAACCTGACTGATGGAATTCAGTCTGAACGAAAGAAAGGACCAGACATATCACACTAGTTACTAATGTCCAATCAAAAGTGTATTGCTATTAGCAGGTTATTCTTCACTTTGTAGATTATTTTGGAGGAGGCGTTTGTTGAGATGGAATGACCAGCTTTAACAAGAAGCTTGATTATCGCACTCCTTATAGTACCACTACTAATCTTTTAAAACCATGCAGATAATGTTCTTAAACCTTTTTTGACAGGATACGCATCGGACGACCAATGTATCTGGCTTCACAGGAACAGATAAACTGACAAATGCACATAGAATTGACCCTTTTGCTTGTGCTGACCGACAGAGGACTGGAGAACACTAATCTTAACGCTTCCACGAAGAATGTTCTCCTTAAGGATGCTGATATTATTCTCTTAAGGGTATCACAGGTTTGGTCTCCCTTGATATCCAGGTTCAGGTAAAGTTTACTATTTGGAACAAGTAATGTTTCGTTCTTCTGAACTTTTGGTTTTATATTCTTGTCGTAGATTTTGAATGAATGTTTCCCTGAGATCTAGTTCTGCTTTAAGGGATTCAGGACTGCAGATGCACCATATCTGAGGTGCAGTGAATTTAATTGGATTTAGTTTTCGTTTATTTTTGATTATTTTTGATTTACAGCTTGGTTCCACACTGTATTTTCGGTACAAGTATGGAATTTTCAGCATGGATATCGGTAGCCCAAATTTTGCAGGCCGACCATAGATATCAGGTGTGCGTCGGTGCGGGCTCGAAACCCGGACCATGTGCATGGTCGGCGAGAGTCCTAACCACTGTGCCACCGACACAGGCACCCTACTGTAGAAACTTGTAATCTTACCGTTCCAAGAAAGGGAACTTTGGATTCGTTTGCCAGAATGAAATGTACTGACTCATGGCAGTTTTTAAATATCTGCGGCAATTGATTTGGAGTCCTAAATGATGAAAATTCCATCTACGCACCCTTTGTACGGCTGCAAATTGTCAATGGTCAAATTTAGTGGACAGTTCTAGAGGCTGGCTATAAAACGATCTGCTAGTGATGGACCAAAGGGAGATCCGCCTGCAATACCGTTTTTCTTCTGCACATGGTTTCAGTGAAAGTGAATTATGCATTGAGAGTCCACCTCAACAG